CATGTGCCACTTTCAGCTCTCCTCACACACTGCTGGTGTGTTTAATTTTTTGACTTAGGGTGCTGGCAGATTACGGGCCTCCCATAGCTGCTGCCAGGCCCCTAATCTGCCATGGGCCCCTATATACCGCCTCCTCATGCTGCTGCCAAGTCCAGAGTCTGTCATGGGTCCCTGTACGGCCTCCCATTGCTTGCTGTCTCCATCGCCACACTCTGCCATGTGCCACTTTCAGGTCTCCTCACACTGCTGGTGTGTTGAATTTTTTGACATAGGGTGCTGGCAGATTACGGGCCTCCTATAGCTGCTGCCAGGCCCCTAATCTGCCATGGGCCCCTATACCGCCTCCTCATGCTGCTGCCAGGTCCAGAGTCTCTCATGGGTCCCTGTAGGCCTCCCATTGCTGCTGTCTCCATCGCCACACTCTGCCATGTGCCACTTTCAGGTCTCCTCACACTGCTGGTGGGTTCCATTTTGTCATAGGGTGCTGACAGATTACGGGCCTCCCATTGCTGCTGCCAGGCCTGTAATCTGCCATGGGCCTCCGTACCGCCTGGTCACGCTGCTGCTGGGTCCACAGTGTGACATGGGTCCCTGTTCCGCCTCCCATTGCTCCCACTCTGCCATGTGCCACTTTGAGGTCTCCTCACACTCCTGCTGGTTTCCATTTTGTCATAGGTTGCTGTATGGCCTCCCATTGCTGCTGCCTCCACCGCCACACTGTGGCTCCAAACACTGGTTTTGGCCCCGTGACTGCCCAAATGTGTGAAGTGTGCGGTGATTCTAAGATCGACGGCACTCATCTGCATGTCATACTGACTGACAGTATTATTTCTCTTCCCCAGCAGACTCCAAGGGCATTTAAATTAAAGGTACAGTGTTCTGCATATATTCGACTCAAATCGAATATTTTCCACGAATTCGCCGAATCAGTCAAATCGAATTTTTGAATACTTCGCTCATCTCTAGTCACAACGTTGTATATGTATGACTATATACATGTATTTACTCTTTATCATATTAACTAAGTGCCTCTGCATTCAATTATTACTTGTTTTAGTAATAATTTAAGCCTTTACTTGTGAAGGACAGGTGCAGACCAGCACTGAACCCACTCAAACTTTTGTAAAAGAAGAAAGTCTGAAAAGAAGGGTTGCACACCGCTAGTATTATCCGCAAGAAACTTTATTGAAGACAGCTTAGAAAGAATACGGCTCTGCCATGGTGTTCTGTCTGAGCAGTCTCCAATAAAGTTTCTTGTGGATGATACTAGTGGTTTATGATCCTCCTTTTCAGCTGGCATAGAATTGTATTATTCTCATGATAATTGTAAACAAATGTCCAGAGAAGCCTTTCTAAACCAGGGTGCCCAGGCACCCTGGGTAACCTTGAGGTTTCTTCTATAGTGCCTTGGCAAGATGTCTAAAAATTGCCAAAACATGTATACAAGCCAGTGGATGGGACAAGCCTGCCTTTTATTTACACAAAGCCATAGATTTTCCATGTGCACCATTACTACCTTCTATTCGCCTATCCTAGTTTGACCCCCCCCTGCCCCTCTCCATCAGTGCTGGGGTCAAATTAGCTCAGTGAGGGAGAAGAGAAACACTGGAACACTAGTCAGTACCAGTGTGTAAAATTGTACTTGCTTTGGAAGAATAAATCACCTCTAACGTTGGATGTCCTACATGCATGGATGTTGCTGCATTATATAAAACTCTTAAAATAGTTTTTTACATATTAGAATGGGTGCCTCAAGACTGTCCATAATTTTAAAGGGTGCCTTGACTGAAAAAAGGTTGAGAAACACTGGTCCAGAGTACCCCACCACTGTTACATCAGATGTCAAGAGCCTCCACACCATCAGAAGTCAAGAGTCCCCCACCCTCCCTTACATCACAGTGCACAACCTTACCTTGTGCTGCTGCAAGAAAAAAGAAAAAACTGTGTTGGGGGGGGAAGGGGGCTGGGAGGAAGAAAGCACAGGATCTGGAGGAGGACCAGAGGAGGGCTGTAGTCAGCTGCCGGAGTCTGATGAATGCTGAGACCAGGGGAGGCAGAGAAGAGGGGGTGATGAGGCTGCACAGAGAGGTGCAGGATCTTTAGAAGACGTTCTGTCCTCCTCTCTGCTGCCAACTGCTGAGACGGGGTGATGGGGAGGGGACAAGGTGCCACAGCTGCAGGAAAGGTGCAAGGGCCACATGAAATGGCCTTGTGTTTGACAAAGGTGTTCTTAACATCAGCATTATAATAGTAATACAAACAATAGTTGATAAAACAATAAATGCTTACGTGAAAAATCTCCTTCCATATTGTGATTGTCTGTCTACTGGTCATCTTTTTCTGCAACTTCCTGGATTCTCTGCATGCTTTTGCAGCTTTTTCACCGCTGTTTACATTCAATTTCTAAGGACTACATATCCCATAACACCTTGCTGCCTGCAAACAGTGATACCTGTGAGGAAACGTCTCCTCTCAGCACCTCTGTAGTTCAGAAGGCAGGCTCTGTGGAGTTTGTGACACACCAATGCCTTCTGACAGCTCATAGTGAATACATGTCACAGAAATCAGGGAAGTAAATGTGTGAGGAACTTCATAAAGAAAGTTTAAAAACTTCAAGATTGTTCAGAATAATAGGGGTAGGCTAAATATACTTAAAATTCAACGTGGGAAAGAAGGTATAATTTTAAAAAGTACATTCATTTCTCAGTTGTATATACGGTCCCTTTACACGATTCTACAGAACTTTGCTCTAAATAAGTGAAAAAAATTAAATAAATGATATTACAAAGAGATAAATGCAACATATGGTTTATACTAAAGAGTTAGAAACACTACAATCCAAAGAACATATGGATAATTACATAAGTTGAAAATGTTCTTAATGTACCTCTGAAAAATATTGGATGCATTGTTTTGTTTAAAATGTTAACTGGTACAGTCACAGAGAAGTTACAACTTTGGGTATAATTTGGAAGTAGCAATCACTGAACTGTTTCATATCATAGCAATCTTTCTTCTTATATAATCTATAATCTTTACACCTTGGGTAAAGATTGCTTTCCAAAGGGAAGTGATAGTCAGACATTTATGAGAATATGATAGCTGTAAAATAAATGATCTAGGCAGTGTTTTTTTAATATTCAAACAAAGGTGGTGTTTATTAATATTCAAACAAAAATAACATGTTGCTGTACAGCTTTTGTTTGGTACTTATTCATCTTAGGTTCATATACATGCTGGGGGAATGCTACTTGTGGGTGGTAATTAGAGATGAGCGAATTATTCAAAAATTCGATTCGGCTGATTCGCCGAATTTGCGGGAGAAATTCGATTCGATGTGAATTTATTCGCTGCAAATTTAACTTATTAAAAGGGTTTCTAGGCTTCAGAGAGCCTTTATATTAGTGCAGAACACTGTACCTTTAATTTAAATGCCCTTGGAGTCTGCTGGGGAAGAGAAATAATACTGTCAGTCAGTATGACATGCAGATGAGTGCCGTCGATCTTAGAATCACCGCACACTTCACTCATTTGGGCAGTCACAGGGCACGACGAAGAAGAAGAAGAAGAAGAAGAAGAATGAAAAGAAGAAGAAGAAGAATGAAAAGAAGAATGAGAAGAAGAATGAAAAGAAGAATGAGAAGAATGAAAAGAAGAATGAAAAGAAGAATGAGAAGAATGAAAAGAAGAAGAATGAAAAGAAGAATGAAAAGAAGAAGAGGAATGAAAAGAAGAAGAATGAAAAGAAGAAGAATGAAAAGAAGAAGAAGAAGAATGAAAAGAAGAAGAAGAAGAATGAAAAGAAGAAGAAGAAGAATGAAAAGAAGAATGAGAAGAATGAAAAGAAGAAGAATGAAAAGAAGAAGAAGAAGAATGAAAAGAAGAATGAAAAGAAGAAGAAGAAGAATGAAAAGAAGAAGGAAAAGAAGAATGAAAAAGAAGAATGAAAAGAAGAATGAGAAGAATGAAAAGAAGAAGAAGAAGAATGAAAAGAAGAATGAAAAGAAGAAGAAGAATGAAAAGAAGAAGAATGAAAAGAAGAATGAAAAGAAGAAGAATGAAAAGAAGAAGAATGAAAAGAAGAATGAGAAGAATGAAAAGAAGAATGAAAAGAAGAAGAAGAAGAATGAAAAGAAGAATGAGAAGAAGAATGAAAAGAAGAATGAAAAGAAGAATGAGTAGAATGAAAAGAAGAATGAAAAGAAGAAGAAGAATGAGAAGAAGAATGAGAAGAAGAATGAGAAGAAGAATGAAAAGAAGAATGAGAAGAATGAAAGAGTCTTCTGACTCTTGTTCACTGTCCAGCTGCACACTGTCCTCTTCTCTGATAACCCCATGTACACTGTCCTACAAACTAATGGCTTCTGTAGACTGCCCTATAAACTGATGATCCTATCCTCTGCCCTGCTGACCCTCTGTATACTGCCCAACTGACCCATCCTCTGCCCCCCTGACATTTTTTACTGCACCTCCACATCAGATAGGCTAGATCAGGCCCTGCCTGCAAAGCAGGGATAGGAAACTTAGAGATATGTTAGTAAAAGCAGCACACTTTACAAAAATTACACACAGGTATACATTTAACCCTTTGATTGCCCTAGATCAGACATCACTAAATGGTGGACCGTGGTCCAGATCCAGACTGGGTTATTGTCCCATCTGGACCATCTGAAGTCCCGCTATTTAAGAGCCGGCTTTTCCTCTCAGCTGCCATCACTGCTGTCATCCTCATCCAGCTGACATTGGAGGCTGGACAGCTCCGAATGAACAGTGGGAGGCACATCAGTATACAGGTGACATGGGAGGCAGGACAACTCCAACTGGAGGCATATCAGTCTAGAGCGGAAATTGGAGGCTCTGGATGGAGGGCAGGAACTGTCACATTAACATTTCAAGTTAAACAGCAGATGATTGGTTGCAAGCAACCAATCACCTTCTGGTTACCAGGAAAAGTTGTGCAGCTTCCACCATCCATCCGAAGCTGTCCTGCCTCCAATGTCCACTCTAGACTGATGTGCCTCCCGCCATCCATCTGGAGCTGTCCTGTCTCCAATGTCCACTCTAGACTGGTGTGCCTTCTGACATCCATCCAGAGCTGTCCTGCCTCCAATGTCAGATGTATACTGATGTGCCTCCCTCTGTCCATCTGGAGATGTTCTGCCTCTGATATCAGATGTAGAGATGAGCGAATTATTCAAAAAAAAGAATGAGAAGAAGAATGAAAAGAAGAATGAGAAGAAGAATGAAAAGAAGAATGAAGAAAAGAAGAATGAAAAGAAGAAGAAAAGAATGAAAAGAATGAAAAGAAGAATGAGAAGAAGAATGAGAAGAATGAAAAGAAGAATGAGAAGAAGAATGAGAAGAATGAAAAGAAGAAGAAGAAGAATGAAAAAAGAAGAAGAAGAAGAATGAAAAGAAGAATGAAAAGAAGAAGAAGAAGAAGAATGAAAAGAAGAAGAAGAAGAATGAAAAGAAGAATGAGAAGAATGAGAAGAATGAAAAGAAGAAGAAGAAGAATGAAAAGAAGAATGAAAAGAAGAAGAAGAAGAATGAAAAGAAGAAGAATGAAAAGAAGAATGAAAAGAAGAAGAAGAAGAATGAAAAGAAGAAGAAGAAGAATGAAAAGAAAATGAGAAAGAATGAAAAGAAGAATGAAAAGAAGAAGAAGAAGAATGAAAAGAAGAATGAGAAGAAGAATGAAAAGAAGAATGAAAAGAAGAATGAGTAGAATGAAAAGAAGAATGAAAAGAAGAATGAAAAGAAGAACGAGAAGAAGAATGAAAAGAAGAATGAGAAGAAGAATGAAAAGAAGAATGAAAAGAAGAATGAGAAGAATGAAAAGAAGAATGAAAAGAAGAAGAAGAATGAAAAGAATGAGAAGAAGAATGA